TTAAATAAATTATGAATAAAAGGGAAATGATAGTGATATACTGTAACAAGAGTTTAATAAAAACCACATATTCGAAGATATATACCATATATATAGGGTATAACTATTTTTAAAATTATATTGTGTTATAAATTGTTTTTACAGGTGTAATTACTTAACCATAGTTGCACTTTTATCATCATGAAAGAAATAGTACATTTGAAACAACTGTCAATTTTATATTTAATGTATATTATTAAACATCCAATATCTATGTCATGATTTTATGGCGGCTTGCTTGAATATCTGGTTTACCTGTTCCTACCATCTAGATATTTCAACAAGTTATCTGTTTTTGTTTGTTTTAACATATCATTATGTCTATTCATCGTATAATTTATTTCGGAGTGCTTATGAAAAGTTTACTACTCTACAAGTAACAAAAAATTACAATTAGAAATATCATGGTGGCTGGTAATATATGCATTGAAAAGAATGAATATTATCCAATTGTCGATTGCTGGACTATTAACATCTAACTGACGATCTTTCAGTATTTATTGTCAGGATAGATCGAGAAATAAGAAAAGGAAATATTATGCCAAGAATTCTATATTGTACCAAAAATTAAATATTGAATAAAGCCATTAATAATGATGATATTATATTTATATGAGATCAAAGTATAAATGGAACTATAATTGACATAATTAGATAATGAAAAGAGATATTAACTGTTATGTTCGACTGTTTTTTTTCTTTCTAGACAATGTAGATTGTTACTGTTCATAATAGACAAAATTTTTTTCTATTCCATTTTAATTCACATATTGTAAATGATATTGAGTATTTCAAGTATACTTTCATGAATGCAAATAAATGAAAGTATAGTCAGATATCTTTCTAGTAAATTAAGTGCTAAAGTACTTCGTGTAAAACTTGGAGTTGACTGGTTGGAGCATCTACTAAAGATTAGGTGTAATTTCATACGAGTATAATATTTTAAAAAATCTTTACAACCTACCTCTTATAAAGTTAAGTATCCTATGCATTGACTAGTACTAAAGGGGATTGGTATTATTCATATATACTGATTGTTGCTTATGTAAAAGAAAAGACTTTTTCACTTTGTTCAGCATAATTTTAAAATAGTTTTCCATTGTAAACTGAAATCATTTAGAGAATTATTGAAAATCACACAACATTTAAAATTTATTCCATTCTATTTTCTTGTCATTCAGAAGATTTTTCATGAAGAGATTTATATTTCAACAAATTTTAGGAATCTTATAGTTTTCATTATTTTCTATTATTGATAAGCATCTATTTAGAATCACAGTTAATTTGAATCTATCATGGAAGTTACATTTAACATTAATTGTTTCTATCTAAACTAATTAGTTCACATTAATGATCATAACCAGGTGTTAATTGACTTAGTCATTGTTTTGGAACCTTTCATTGTCTTGTATTTTCTTTGTTTGTACATCATAACAACTTATTTATCAATTATATTTCTATAAATTTGGTTACGATTATAGAATAGTAGAGAGAGAGAGTATGCTTTAATCCTTTTTTTTTAAAAGACGTATTCGCAAATAGAAAACATGATTGTTTGTTATGTTCATATGGTTGACATTAAAATAGTTGTATTACTAATAATCTCTTTTTTCTTTCAAAATTAATCATTTATTCAAGCATTGGACAAGTTCATTAGTTTTTCTTTTTTTTTGTATTTCTATGAAATGTAGAATCATAATGGAAAGTAGTTAATTAATACTTACCGATATGTAAGAAATTAATTTTTTTTAAGTGTATTTACAATACGTTTCAAAATGACTATTTACATTTTTAAGGTAAATGGAGCCATTCATTAGTTCATATGAATATTTTCACTCTTTATTTCTTGTTTCATCCATCATTTTTATGTTCACCATTGTAATATTATTCGTTTTATTGTGTTGTGTTTTAACAAACCTCTTTTCTTACCGTCGCCAATTCTCATAACCACGTACTAATTGTATTTATTTTTTCTTAAAGTGAGATTTTTTATAAACAATATTTCAATTTATTTTTGCTAATTATAACCACTACCTTATTTCATTGCATCTTATCATTGTGTTTTAGTAGTAAGTGGTATCCATCCTGAATTCTGCCACCAAATGCCAACCAAAAAAACTGAATGCATTTTGTTTATTCATGTTCACTGATTACTTCATTCGTTTCATATCTGTATTCACTCTGTTTCATGTGAGAAAAGGAGAGGACGCAATAATAAAACCTCACTATCTTGTTTAAAATTTCTGTTTTCCATTTCTGTCCACGTCAAATGATAATTTATTATTCGCAATTCCTTTTACTCGGGTTTATTTTTTTTTACTTTCTAATATATATATATATATATATATATATATATATATATATAGTTATCTATCTAGGATTTCCGCTGTTAGACTAGTCGTTATTAAACGAAAGATTCTACGTCTGTTATTCTGATATTTTGTTTTATCCTATTTTTATTTCTCTATTTCGTTCATTTTTATCATCTTGTCTGGCATAAATTTTCCTTTCACTAGACGGGAAATATTGTGATGTAATGGCCTCTTCTTTTGTGTTAAGTTCATGTGAAATCTTATAAATCAGAATATTCACTTTTTACCACTCTAATGTAGAATACTTTCGAAAGCCATGATCTTGCTATTTATTCATCTGATGTACACTCTACTTATAAGTAATATAAATCAGTAAACAAAATTATCGTTTGACGTCTATGCGTAGTCCATTCCCGAACGAAATATTATAACTGGTTCCCACTAAGCTTAATAGGATGGGAAATGAAGAAGAGTTCCATGATTGCTCATACAAATCAAATCAAAACTTTGAAATCCGAAATAGCATATAAATAGTTGTGTCACATCTCATTGTTTATCAATTTACATTTGTTTGAATGCATCTATAGAGATAAGTAATCGTGGTTTACAAATCGGATTGGCTGAACATGTGCTCAAACGGTTACTAAAACAAACAAATTCGGGTTTTTCAACCTGATTTGATAAATGGGAACATATCTTATATATATATATATATATATATATATATATATATATATATATATATATATATATATATATATATATATATATATATAACATATCTATTATACAGTATGGTGCGAACGTGTATCCCACAATGCTATATCGAACCCATCAAATTTAGTAATAACCTTAGGTGTGACAACAGCCATCTTTTATCAAATTTCTTTCCAGTAATTTCCGATCCTTTTAACTTCCAATCACATAACACTAAACAAGTTTCATAATGGTATCGGTTCACTTGGACCGGATTTCAGTGCTAGCCACCATCTATCTCTGCTTAAAAATGCTTGTGACTTAGTGGCAATATCGAGGCAAGCCGCACAGGAAGCATAAATACCAAAAGACATTGACCAATTTTAGTCATAAACATCAGGGGGAAGATTCAAATAATCAATACATATAAACTTATAATAATAGTTTTGTCGTAAACTGATTGATGGAATTCAGTGGAAGCACTAATGACTTCACATAGCACTGATGATATTGTCCAGATCAATAATGAATAGTTCAAAATTAAAGTATTCAGATTAGGGAATAAATCTTCACCACCGCCACCACCGAAATTGAAGTAATGAATTCAATTTTTATCGATAATCTTCAAGTATATTATTTGGCGACAGTAAAAATAGTAATTCTAGAAGTTTTTTTAAATTTCCTTGGTTAATTGGATTATCATACATAAAACGATGTATTCTTCTTGGTTGTATATGATCATTTTACTACTGTTTTGTATTCTTTCTATTTAACTTCATAATCAGTCCTTAATACAAATAAATAAAATGGTTAAACAACAGTCTTTAAATGAATAAAAACTACATTTTCAAAAATCAGTCATTGGTGAAAAGAAAGAAAGAATGTTGATAAGAATGTAAAAATTATATTCCTATGTGAAGAGTTCAAGAATCATGTGTTATAATCTCTTAAGCGTGATAAAAATAAAAAAACTTGCATTTTCATATTATTATTATTATTATTATTATTATTATTATTATTATTATAACCTATATATTGTTGATGTCTGTACTATTTCTGTCAAAGTGATGCATGGTCTAAAGTAAAAAATGTCAAGAATAAATTGGTTATATTTTAGACTGAAGTCAAATTTGCCAAAAATATTTGGATGAAACCAAATAGATAAGTTACCGTTACCTTACATTTTGTCCGTAATATGTTCCATATATATATATATATATATATATATATATATATATATATATATATATACTATTCTGTAACATTATGTTACATATGTTTCTTTATTCTGGTAATCAATTTTTTCGCTTCTCATTATTACTCAATATTAAAACATTACATGTAGTACTTATTTCCGTCTCTTGGAAAGAATTGATGTCGTATACATTTTTAGTGTGAAAAAATCTCAATGACAACTGTGGTTGGAAGAAGTGACTTACTGAAATAATCTATTTTTTATAACCTACAAAAAGCTATCTGTTATGTTATGAATTGACAATTTACTTACTTTTCTTTATATCCAATACAATTTGGTGTTTCTTACTTAAACTATTGTAAAGTCATCTCAACAAGTTTGTTCATCGTAGTAAAAAGTAATTATGAGAGAATTTTTCTAAGGATTTATATGAATTATTCACTACTTGTTCTTATAAAATTATACATTGTTCATAAAATTAATACAGTAGTTGATGATATAAAGTGAAAGGAATTAAATGGGTTCACTTAATTTAACCATAATTAATATTTTTAGTTTATAAACATTTCTAGATGAAGTAATTTTATGAAGATATTTGTTAGTCAATTTTTGCTTATTTATTTCAATAACTGATTACATCATTTTATATCGTATTATTATTTAATCATAAAATATCCGAAAAAGTTAAATAGTAAAGTATGTATAGATATACATTGCCATATTTAATGTTAAAGCGTTTATAATTTTACATTTCACAGGTAACTCTAAGTAGTGTACAACGAGGTGAAATTGAATTGTGGTTAACGTCTCCAGCTGGAACTATTTCACAACTTTTAAGCAAAAGGCCAAAAGATATTGATGTCGCCGGATTTCATGCATGGCCATTTATGTCTGTACACTATTGGGGTGAATTAGCCAATGGTACTTGGAAATTAACAGTTAAATCGGGAAATGCTGTCGGTAAGCTTTATGTTATTTTTTTTTCAAAAAGAAAGAGTGTTATCTTCATATTTTAGAATGCATTTAGTTTGGCTAACCAACTTGGCTAAAGCCTATGTAAATGTATCAGTATGATATGCCAAAATTTACACGAAATTTTTAACTACTGCTCAGTTCACTATCTCTGTCGTAAACATTAATGCTGAGTTATGCACATAACAACTAACCTTATTGTAAAGCGTATACAACGTCAGAATTAAATGTACTGGATCGGTTGCAAAACCACACCTTTTAAGCAATTGTCTCATCCCTGTCAACGCATATGTAGCTTGTCTCATTATGGGCATGAACACTATAAAACAGAAACCTCGATAAACAATGGTTTTCTCTGATTTTAGAATGAATCTTAAGCAACACGAAGCATAAATGTAGAATATGTCTTGTCTATTATTTTGAAGCGTCCAATATTGGCATACACAATAAACCATAATGCTATATGACATTTCTAAATTATCCTGTCCCACTTTGTAATCTAAGCGTCTCTATTGTAATTCGAAACTATAAAATTACCTAAATATCGCTTGAAAGTACAATTTTCTCTTAATTATATATTTATAGTTTGGATTGATATGGCGATTTTTATCAGCTTGGAAAATATTCTGAAAACAGATTATTCTGGAATCCGTTTTTTGAAAATGATTCCTCAAAATTTTGACTCCTTTAAAAATCATTGCAAACATTTTCATCATAACCCAATATAGTTTTATCAGATAGGATATTAGATGTCATCAGTATATAAATATTTAACTGATACGAAATCAAAATTGAGTTGCCATTGTATTTTTATCGTTTAGCCAACCATCGGACAACACTTAGCCGATAATGTAAATATCAATAATTTTATTTCGACTGTTACCTAGTTTGTTGTTTAAAAATCAATTATTCTTTCAATTATCACAAATGTATATCAACTAATACAATTCTATATAATTTAATTACTACCTAATTATTTGAATCATAACAACGTTTCACCTGGCAATCTTGTCGAAGCTTTTCCATGATGATACTCCCTTGAAAAAGATGAGACCAGATTATCAAGTGAAACGTTGAAGGTAATTAAAATTCGATTGCTGAGGTCTTTACAAATATTATTTTTCTCCTTTATGTTTTACATTAATTCGATGCCCAACTACTGTGAAACTATTCGTTCAAAGTTAGACAAAGATTTTTATAATTATCTGAAAGTTCTTTGTTATATTTTATTTCTTTTTGCTCAGTTTTGATTCATGATTGGAGCTTAATTTTATATGGAACAAATACTCCACCACCATCTGTACCAAGTTCTTCGCATAGACGAGGTGTCAGACAACTTCCCAGGAACCAAGAGTCTAATCCTTCTGCAAAATCTCAAAAAACATGGATTGATCCACAGAAAGACAAATTTCATTCATCTAAAACTTCACAACAGCCTCAACAAAAATCCATTGAAACATCAAAGCACTATTCCTTAGATTCTGTTTTAAATCCTATTAATCAAGAAAATGGTGATCATAGCTCTATTGGTTCATCGGAGAATCAAAACTCTTATCCTTATCCACCATTTTACTATTTAAACAATCAAAACTCTTATCGATATTGGCCTACTTGGAATAGTGAGTACCAGAGTTTGTCACCTGTTCAAGCCCCACCTCCACCACCTCCTCCACCGCCACCTATACCGACGATCTCTGTTCTGTCATTACCACCGCCTTCAGCACCACTATCTTCTTCCTCCTCCTCATCATCCTCTTCTGCCGCTTCACATTCTTTATCCTCTTCTTCTTCATCATCTCATGAATTCTACCCTAATTATTTTCCACAATCTTCTATTCCCTTCTCTTCTACCGGTCATTCTTCATCAAATCATGGTTTAGACGAATCAAATCCTTCAATTGAATTTGATATACCATCATTAGTTGTACAGTCGAATGATTTCACACATATTGAAACATCTAATACACTCGATCGAAATGGTTATTCCGAACACGAACTTAGTTTATCTCAAAATCATGGACAATTATTAGTTAATCATGATGAGTCAATACAACGTAGCAATCATAAAATTGAGAATAATAACAATTATATTAATATTAATAATAAAAACACAGTGAATAATTCTGTTTATTCTATTAATGTAAATTTCCTTTATTTATTATCCTCTCTAATCTTATTTATTTTATTTGTCTACTGAATAGAAATTACTGTTTTATATATATGCAGCATTTCTCTTTAAAAAACAAAAATAATGATTCAATTTTTGTCTGTTTTGTCAAGTCGTTTCATTGTTGTCGCTGTTGTTGTTGTCGTCGTCGTCGTTGCCGTCGTCGTTTTTCTCCTTATTCATCTATCTTCAGTTTATAGATTGTTCTGTATTTGAAAGTGCCAATTGTGAACATTCAATTTTAAACTATCAATATCAAATATTGTTTTAGGGATTTTATTTTATTTTTTATTTTTTAAAATATGAAGCTATTAAAAATTGAATTCATTCTGTCAGTAAACATTTTTTTCTTTCTTTAATTAATCTTAATTAGGAACTGTTTAATGAAAAATTTATCTTCTTCTTAAAACATACTTGCTGGATTTTGCTTCAAATTTGTAATGATGATTATGAAGATGATGAACAAATGTGTTTATCTGTGTTCTAGCATGTAATGAGTAGTACAGTTTGATTTTCTACTAGCGAATACATTTTAACTTTGAAAAGTGTGAAATTATTTTGTTTCTTTGTTTGCATTCCCTTTAGTGTGATTATATATATATATATTCAAGTTTGTTTACTTCCAGTCACTCATCCATTTATCTCTATGAATGTATATTTTTATGTATAAAAGTAAATGAAACATTGAAAATTCTTCAATATCCTATAAAAGGGGTTTATCTTTTTTTATTTAAATGTTTAGTTCTCATACATCTATACGCACATATGATATAAATAATCTCATTGATTGATCCATTATTATTACTACCAAAGGAATAAATTTCATTCACAAAATTAAATATGGTTTTTCTTTTATCTTACAATCTATTTGATTATTTTTTAGCAATTTTACAAATTATTCTTATTTCAGTTTTATCTGTATGTTTATATCTAGATGTGTAATTGTTTTACACATTTGTCAAACATTTTGTTGTTGTTGTTGTTGTTGTTGGTCATTTTCGAAAATTCTACTTATTTTTTAATATGCTAATTCAAGTTTATCTTCTTTCTGTACTTACTTGAATAGTTCGTTTTTTACTTCTACATTATAAAATATCTTTATTTTGTTTTAATTCTTTATTCTCTGTATTGTAATTACTTTCGGAAGCCATGTATACACACATTCACACACATGCAATGGATGATATGCTTATCTAGAGTTGTTCTTTCACTGGTCACTTGAAGTTAACAATATACTTTTTCTATCCACTAGTTACTATTATTTGGTAATAATCAGTCTTCGCCATGCACACACACACACACACTTTTGGCTTCGTTGCTTATAATGTCTGCAGAAAGGCTATGTTAATGTGTGCAATGTCCACTGTTCAATTATTCTTTATTTCTCTCTATTTTCTTCTAAATTGAATACCAAAGTGAAAATACTCGAAATATTCTGATATATATCCCTTTGTTGTTTCTCTAGATCGTGAACATATTGTCATATTTAACTGAATCCACTGTTGCAAGATATTTTTATGATTGTAAAGCTTGTATTTTTTTAAAATGTAATTCTATAAAATGATGGAGAGAGTAAGAATCAAATACCTGAACATAACTATACAGCAATGGAAGCTTTTATGTTGTATCTTTTTAACAAAATATTGTATTGAATTGTTTGTTGGATTTGGTTCATTATGTTCAGAGCAGTCTGTTTGTGTGGGTATTTATATATTGATTTGTGCATTTATTTTTATTTTGCACAAACGCAAAATTCTACCTCACCTTATTCAAGTCTTTGTTATCTCTATTTGTTGTTACCATTATCGTTACTGTTTTATTTTGTCTTCTGTTTTGTTATTGAAAATTCTGCACTACAGAGTTTATCCAATTATTGTCACTTATCTGTAATAAAATATAATAAATATTCAATTTAATTTGGTTCACAAATTTTTTTGGCAGTAATTACCATTTATCCTACTGTTCTTTATAAATTACACAGATTGAAGTCATGAGTCATTTGAAACTAGATCACCATGGAAAACCTGGAGGCACTGGACGACTGTTTCGTCCTAGTATGGGACTCCTCAGCAGTGCGCATCCACGACCCTGCTCACTAGTGACTGACTTCAAGAGATACTCCCGGAGTTCTAGTGGGAAGCCGTTACTAGTGGAGTTCAACCAGGTCTGTTGTGAGATATCAGCTCACTGAAGACAATGGTATACGGTGGCGCAACTTCGTGAATTGGTTGAAGTTAGACATTAACACCATTGGATGCCGGCTCAGTAGTCTAATGGTTAAGTGCTCGCTTGCGAAACCAGTAAGTCCTGGGTTCGAGCCTCGCGGGGTGCGGTGTCGTGACTGTGCACTGCTGAGGAGTCCCATACTAGAACGAAACGACCGTCCAGTGCTTCCAGGTTTCCCATGGTGGTCTAGCTTCAATTGACTCATGATTTCAATCTGTGTAATTCCTAAAATCTCCACAAACCCATTCTGTTCTTTAGAAGTTTATATTGTTTTGTATACGCAGATGATCTTAAAGTAGTGTATTCATTTTCTCCACATGAGCTGAAAAATATGCAAAATTGCATTAGCATGGAGCTTAACAAGGTAACACAGTGGTGCTTAAAATGGCAACTGGAGCTTAATACGGCTAAATGTGGATGGATATGCTTCGGCGATACATTTTAGTGGCCCGTGGTTCTGACTCCGTTTTAGATTGTATGGATGTTTGTTATCGCCTTTTCTCGTATATCATCGTCGACTTAAATCGCGTTATCCAATAACGGAATTAAATAAGTCGAATAACGAGAATTGACTTGAGAATACATATATTTCGTACATGAAGCGAACGAAGCATAGCAAAGCAATTTTGACACGTATGGAAGATGGCTGGGAAGCCAACTCCATTTTAGTCAAGCGTTACTCAATATTTATAGTCAGACAAAATAAAGCTACAGACATGTGATTAATAGGATAAGAAGGGCACACATATATACGCTCATATAAAAACAGTCAAGACTGACAAGCGAATAATTGACAAGGTCAAAATATGGCTCAAGTAAAATGAATAAAATAGGATGTCCGGAAGTTAGAATAAGGTATATGGGCTTGCCATAGTAACTGACACTACAACATCACTCAACCTAGACATTACCATAAATGGAGAAGTGTTATCTAGGTTACATACAGTAGTAGACTTAGGACTTAGATATTCCCAAGACTTGTCGTTTACAGAACATATATTAAAACAGATTTCTAAGTCTCAACGTCTAATAGGTTACATAACTCGAAATCTTTACAACAATGAGTCACGTATTCTAATGTACAAAGTTTGTGCTCGACCTCTTCTAGAAAATTGCACGTTTATTCTTAGCAGTGCGCTCATAAAGGATAAATTAAGGCTGGAATCAGTACAGAGACGATTTACACTTCGTATTCTTGGAGCTGATTGTACCTTGACTTATAATTCTAGATGTAATAAACTTGGGCTAGACCCTTTATGGAAGAGGAGACTCAAACTAAATCTTATCTTTTTCTTCAAACTACTTCATAAACTATCGCTTACATCCAATCACGCGATTCAATATGCAGAAACTTCTCATTATGACATCCGTAATTCCTTATCACTAGTGGAAGAAACTCATTCTAAATCATCTCTTTATATGAATTACTTCACCTGCAAATTTTCTAGACTATGGAATAACCTACCACAATCTATTCGCACGATAAAATCACTCCGATTATTTGTTCGCTGCATCGATGCATACTGCTCTTCTGACAATGCATTGAATGGTCTAGCACCTGCAAGTGTATCTCATTCCACAAGTGATATTTTAGGAACTTTAGGTGTTTAGCCATCTTTATTAGTGAATCCCCTAAGTAAAACCACCCACTTGCTGTCAATATGTTAACACCGTCCCTAGCAAGCTTAACTAATTTGAATAACATAAACAGCATATCACTGTGTCACATGAGACACGCACTTAGGTAGACCTGATTCATATATTTTGGTAATTACTGCTTTGTTTTTCCGTGCTCTGTGTTTTCCTTTTAATTTCTCTAGTTGTAAATAATAATCATTAATTCGATCTGGCACACGAATTGACCTTAATTACTCCGTTAATAAATCAACAGGCTGTCCATTTAAGAAATATTAAAAATTCCCGGCTGATGCATTGGATCGCTGTAATATATGTACTACCTAAACAACTACTGAACTAGTATACTTAAAACTTTCTTTTATCATGTTTGTTCTGCGTGTGTAACGTTACTATTTATATCAAATTGATCATGCCTGTAAACTGGCGTGAATACTGTAATTATTATTTTCAGAACATAAATTATTATTATTATTAATCTGCATACTCATAAATAACAGAACCAGATGTATTACACGGTTTGGAATATTTACAATATTATTAGTTGACTTATCTTCATACTGTTGAGTTTATTAGGAGATGACTGGTTATTTTGGATAATTGACTAACAGTTGATATACTTCAATTTGAATATCTGATAACGCTATCTCTTACACATTAGATATTATGCACAGATTAACTATTCATGTACACAACTAAAAGGTTTATTTGTACTTTTGGACAAAATGCATAACTCTGCTACAATATCCACGAACCCCCACTCTGGTAATAATAATCATGTGCTCACTAGTGACTGGCTTCAAGAGGTATTTCCTGATGTTCTAGTGAGAAGCCGTTGCCAGTGGAGCTCAACCGTGTCTGTTGTACAGGCAGTTACTCACTGAAGACAATGGTGGACGGTAGCGCAATATCGTGGGTTGGTTGAAGTTAGACATCAACACTGTTGGGTGCCGGCTCAGTGGTTTATAGGTTAAGCGTTCGCGCGCGAGGTCGAAGGTCCTGGGTTCGAGTCCCATGTGCGGTGTCGTGGATGCGCACTGATGAAGAGTCCTGCACTGGGACGAAACGGTCATTCAGTGCTTCCAGATTTTCCATGGTGGTCTAGCTTAGATCAACTCATGGGTTCAACCATCAAATATTACAATATCGATGAACCCCCATTCTGATAATATTCATGTTAAAGTGGATATTTGCTTTTTTATTTTTATGTTTCTTAGAATAAAAAGTAGTCTAATAAATGTTAAAGAGATGGCTTGTTATAAAATACAATAATTAAGAAGAAATGCTGTGTAAAATTTCTAACAGAAATGGTCTGAAAGAACAACTAAATCTTAAAAAGGCATTAGTATAAGCAAAGATAGTAGTTTTTTAGTGGCCTGATATTTGACTCCAGTTTGATCGTTTGTGACTGCTATTGAAATGTACATATCACCGATTCTCGTATATAATAATCGAATTAAATCGCGTTAGTGAATAACGGAATCAAATAAGTCAAATACGAGAATGGATTTTTGAATGCGTGAATTTTGTACACTCATTAATTTGAACAGACAATCAGAGTATCACAGCTAATGAAGCGAAGTAGAGGGAGCAAAACGAAACGAAAGGACGCGTAGTGGAGAAGGCGTGTTAGTTAGTTCCATTTTACCAAGCGTTAAACGATATTTATAGTCACACAAAAAGAAGTTACAGACATGTGATGAATAGAATAAGAAGTGTACACACATATATGCTCATATAAAAACAGTCAAGGTTGATAAGTGAATAATTAACAAGGTCAAAACATGACTAAAGAAGAATAAATAAATTGACCTGTTAAGAAGTTAGAATATGGTATATGGGCTTAACATAGTAACCGATACTACAGTTTTACAAAGCGTTTTGGTAAATAATTCTAAGTTTTACTATGTAGACTTCAATGGACTCTTGTTTCTGAAGTGACTTTTTAATGAACTCACAGAAATCTGGTCTTAGTGATTAAATGAAAGAGGTTCGCTAAAAAAACCCTGATTATTTTCTCCACTAAACATTTGCTGCTTTTCATGGCCAAAGTGCATGAATAACATTATTGATATGTTGTTAATTTATGAGTGCAATTCACGGTTTCATTGATTTGACAAAATTCTCGTGATATATTATTAAATACCGAAAAGAAACATCGATTGTAGTCAAAATAATCTAAACCGTTAACTTCGATCGTCACATAGAATGACAAAAATATGTAGTGTGTTTCTCTGTCAGTCAGTTATTTGTTATATTAATTGTTAAATGCTCATAACAATTAACTAATTGACCCAATGCACCCTTTGGAAAGATATAGAAACACAGAAAAAGTGCTTTATGGTAAGACGATAGAATTAATTTTTAAAAAAAGGAAAAAGAAACGAAAAAATGATTGCGAGTAGCTTATAGCGAACGTGAGTGTAGAATGAAGGTTACCTTAATGAATACCAAGAAAATAAAAGCAAGCGAAAACTTACACGTTTAAAAGATGCTCATCATAAAGAAAGAAGAAACAAAAAAGTAATCAAAAGCAACTATAAAAAGATAAATATTCAAGAGATAAGAATTGAGATAAACATGAAAAAATGAATAGAAATATTCCACGCACATAAATAAACAGAGAAAACGCGTAATCGCAAATCGGAAGAACGAAATAGAAAACTATAAAACTAGGAAGAAAACGCAAAAAACCAGCGCGAAAACAAAAAGCAATTTCGACATCAAAATGGCACATATAAAAACGAAGAAAAAAACCAATCAAACAAACAAGCGAAACAACCCTCAATCGAACACGGGCCGCCCGCGTGGCAGGCGAGCATTCTACCATTGAACCACCGACGCCCGACTATGTACTCCGCAACAACACACACACACATGCACATCAGATACACACCAACTCTCTCTCTCTCACACACACCAACACACACACACAAACTCACAATACCAATGATTATCACTACTAATTCCTACACTCTCTCACATCCTACTCTCCTCATTCCCCATCATCCATCAACAACTACATCCACATTCTCATCGAATCATCCTTGATTTATCACAACACCATT